GGTGTTTGTTTAGTGATTACTATTTGAGTCAAGCTGCAGCTAAGCAAGATCTAGCTAGGAAAGCTGTTGATTATCTCATTGATGTGTCTAATCTTGAAATAGTGGATGCTAATTATAGGGCAACGACGTGTAGGTTTGATGCTTTGCTATGTGTTTTGGAGTGGGAAAGTTATTTAAGTGTGAAGGAACGTGTGTTGGGAGTTAAAGAACAATTAGAACATTCTTCAGGTCTTGTAGAACAAGACTGTGTAGTTCCTGTTGGTGGGGAATCTCAAGTTCCAATATCTAATCCACCTTTTGTAGCTTTCAGTAAGATTGAACTAAAATCTCAAGTTCCAGAATCATTTTCTATTTCTGATTCCAGCATTGAAGAAATCCCGAAGGAGGAAGACTCAAAACATTTACATGGACGTTTTAAGCATGTAAGGCTTTTAAAGGATTAGATGACTTTGTTTAAGTTGGTATTGAAGAAGTTTTAATTGCTTGATGTGTGGTATTTTGTTGCTTATTGCTTCAACTGGATTAGCTTCTTTTTGGATCTTATAATTGAAGTTTCTTGGCTTATTTATGTTACACAAGATAGTTTTTTGTGATGCTTGTGCATTGAACTCTTTTAAGTAAATACATATATTAGAGTTCGAAGTAGATATTTTGGTTATGTAATGGTTGTAATGGATTATATGTAATTAATGATAATGAACACTTTTTGGTTGTTGCTATTTTTTTCTTTTTTGAACTTTCTTGCAGTTTGTTATCTAGTTTTGTGGATTTTTAAAGCTTATGGTATGTCTTGTTATGAAAATTCATATTACTTAGAACACAAGTTACGTGTAGAAAAAAAAAAGGTTGCTTGATACAACGACACTTGCAAGGGAGACGCATTGTGGAATTTGCAAAGAACAATAGAAAATGGGTGAGTTTTTTCATGTATCTAACCATGAAGATCTAGGGAAGTTTATTTTTACAGTGAAGTGATTTCAGGACAATAGTTTGTAAAATTAATGTTAATCACTAATTATGTAGATCGATAATTACGAGCACCAACGACATCATATAAATACAGGACTAATCGCCAAATAGGGTTGGAAAGTGAAAGTAATGAAATAGAGGCTGTCAATGGGTCTAAAAAGAAAACAAGAAAAGGAATTCAAGTGCCGAGTAATTTCAAAACTCTCATTTGTAGTAAACATATTTTATATTGAATTGAATTGAGATGGAGATAATTGCTTATGAATTTGTTATTATGTTTAATAAGCACCTTCATCAACAAGGACAAACACTAATAGCCACCTTGTAGATTTGGAGAGAACATGTACTGAACAAATGCAAAGGTACTCAAAGGTTGAATACTTCGGTATTAGAGAAAAATTTATTATACTTTGTTGTATTACGATTATTAATTTTTGTTTTAAAATTTAAACTGAATTTGCGTTTTGTAATTTTGTAAAAAGGTTAGAGGAGCAGCTTAATGAAAATTCAGGAAAAGAAAAAGGCAGCGCAATTGAAGTTTCAAGTAATTTTAGTGTCTTCTTAGAGAATTCCTACATGTGTTTAAGAATAATAAAAAGTATTAATGTCAACAAATCAGAATTAAAAATTTTATTGATCACATTTTTCATAGGGGTTCTTGATGAAGTAACTGATGAAAGAGTTATTTTTCAGGTTTTTGCACTACCTGTAATTCAAGTGACAAGTAATTTCTGTGACTTATTCTTGGTGTTGCATCTTTATATACAACTGATTTGAAGATTCTATTTTTTGATTTTGATGTTTACAATTATAAGCAGCTTCAACAGCAAAAGGAAACAAAAATAAACGTCGTACAAATACAAACGTGGAGGGTGAATGTAGTGATCAAATTCAAAGGTTATTTAGGACTTAATGGTATATTGTTGATATTTGATTTTAATAGGAAAAAATTATTGAATTTTTGTTTGAATCCTATTTAAAAAGTTACAGGATCAACCCAATGGAAATTTTTAGGAAAAGGAAATCAGCAAAATCCTAGCAACAAGTAATTTTAGAGTTTTATTTTTTAGTATTACATTTTTTCAATAAATATTTGTATTAAAAATACTTTGTAATTATCATTGTTAATATTTTTCACAGAGGGATATGATGTTCTAATTGGAAAAAAAATTCCTACTAAGTCTTATCTGCTTCCTGCACCTACCTACTGTGATAAGTGTATGGCCAAGAAATTTGCTTTTGAATCACTTCACTTCTGTTGTGATAATGGAGAAATCAGGATTCCTGCTAATGATTACCCTCCACAGCTTGTGTGGTTATCAACTTCTAAAGATGAAGAAGCAAAACATTTCAGGAAGTATGTGCGATTGTATAATAATTTGTTCGCTTTCACTTCATTGGGTGGTGATCATAAAGCTGAAACAAAGAATGGAATCTATGTTTTTAAGTTACATGGACAGATTTATCATAATATTCCAAGTTTAGTTCTTGGAGAAAAAGGGCCATAGTATATGCAATTGTACTTTTATGATGGACAACAAGAATTAGCTAATCGTTTAAAGTGTTTTTCTACGTTAAGAGAAAATATTTTGGCTATGTTGATGGGGATTACAAATCTAAATCTGTATGCCAGATTTCTTCGAAGTTTAAGGGGATTTTCGATTAGTGATTCAACATAGATTTTACTGAATAAGACTACATGTCCAAATCAGCATGTTTATAATGCTCCAACTACAGATGAGGTTGCTGTTATTTGGCCAGAGAATACTTCTTCCAGTGAGTCTAAAAGTCCACACATATTAGTTACTGGTGTAGATGATTCTTCTCATATGATCCAACACTATTATGGTTTCTATGATCTTTTACAGTATCCTTTGCTATTTCCATATGGTGATTGTGGGTGGACTCAAGGGCTAAAGAAGATATCTATGGGTGGAATACAACAGTTACAGTCTCAGAAAAATCCAGTTTCTTCATGTAGTATCCATACTACTGAAGAGTTGTTAGATGAAGAAGTTAGGCATCTGAGTTCATATCTTTTATTTCTAATTAATAAACTATATTTAATTTTAAATGTCATATACATGCTTTTATTGCTAATTTTATCCTTCTTTTTCCAAATATTGATTTGTAGGTGCAAATGGAGGTTCATCTAAGGCAGATAAACATATTTCAGCTCGAGAATATTATGCATATAGGCTTTAGTGTCGTCCGGGTAGAGAATACACGCTTAGATTTCTTTCGAAGGAGCGAACAGACAATAAGGCTTTATCAGGGACTTCTTGATACTATAGATTGTGGAGAAGAATGTGCAGCAAATGTTGGAAGACGAGTTATATTGCCTGCAATGTTTATAGGTGGCCCTCGAGATTTAAAGAAGTGATATCTGAATGCGATGTCATTAATTCAAAGGTTTGGCAAGCCTGATTTATTTATAACAATGACATGCAATCCTAATTGGCCTGAAATAAAACAATAACTTGCTGCTGGAGAAGAAGCACAAAATAGGCCAGATATCATTTTAAGAGTTTTTAGGGCAAAGGTATTTGCTTTAAAACATTTAATAAGGAAGAAGCAAATATTTGGAGAAGTGGCTACAAGGATTTCTGTTATTGAATTCCAAAAAAGAGGTTTACCTCATGCTCTTTTTCTCTTTATTTTGAAATCAAAATTCAAAATAAAGACTCCTGATGACTTTGATAAGTTTGTTTGTGGTGAAATTCCATCTTCTGAAAATGGATATTTAAGAGAGATTGTGATCAAGCATATGATGCATGGTCCATGTGGTTATCTTAATCCAGAATGCCCTTGTATGAAACATAAAGAACAAAGTGGACATTGTCAGTATGGTTATCCAAAGAAAAATTGTGAAGAGACAAAAAGTAACAGTGATGGATATCCTTTGTATCGATGGAGAGCTACGTGTGATACTGTTAAAGTTCGGGGTGTTGAAATGGATAATTCATGGGTGATTCTGTATAATCCATATCTTTTAGATTATTTCAATTGTAACTTAAATGTTGAAGTTTGTTCAACTATTGAAGTAGTGAAGTATCTGTATAAGTATGTTTATAAAGGCCATGACAAGATATCTTTCAATATTGTCCAAACAAAAGATAGAGTTCCATGCAAGATGAAATTGAACATTATCAGTCAGGTCAATGGGTTTCACCTTGTAAGGCTGCGTGGGGTCTTTTTGGTTTTGATTTATATGAAATGTATCCATCAGTTTTACCTCTTCCTATTCACTTGCCTAATTCCCAGCTGATACAGATGAGACCTCACGAACAACTGACTTCAATTGTTTCAGATGCTAAGCGTACTAGAACCTGTTTAACAGAGTTTTTCAAAATGAATTGTAAATCAGCTTTGGGAACAGGATATCTATATAGTGAATTTCAGAGCACTATTGGTGGAATGCATCAGATAAACTATGGAAGAAAAGAAAGAATAAAAAAATGCAGATTGGAAGGTTAGCATTTGTTGGACCTTCTGAAGGTGAAAGATACTATTTTCGGTTGCTGCTTCACAATGTCAGAAATCAGAAGTCGTTTGAAGATCTACGTACAGTTAATGGACACATTTATGCCGCTTTTGAGCAGGCAACACTAAATTTAGGATTAATGGAAGAAGATGATGCAATTGAATTGTGCTTCACTGAAGGATGTGCCATCGAAATGCCTCATGTTGTTTGAAGATTGTTTGCCACGACACTTATCTTTTGTCAGCCCAGTGATCCTCTATCTTTGTGGACAAAATATTATGATTCTTTTTCAGAGGATTACCGATATAAATATCCTACAGATGTTGCATGAGTGAAACATTTAACCGTAAGATCGATTGAGCAATTAGTTGAGTTAATGGGAAGTTGGTTGAAGGCTTTTGGGTTACATAATTTAGTAGAAGATGATGGTGATGCTTGACATGTTACGAAAGATATAGAAGATGCATTGAATGCTCCGATACCAGAAGAGTGTTTAGAATGTAAAGAAAATTTAAATCAGGCTCAACGAGTTGCATTCAATGTCATAATGGATCATGTTACAAAGGGGAATCCTGGTGCCTTTGTCATAAATGGTCCTGGTGGAACGGGGAAAACTTTTTTATATAATGCTCTTTATGTAGAAATTAGATCAATGAATAAGATTGTTTTACCAACAGCAACTTCGGGTATTGCTGGAGCCAATATTCCTTCTGGTGGAACTGCGCATTCACTGTTTAAAATCCCTTTAGACCCTTCGAGCTCACTTACTTGTAATGTTCCTAAGCAGGGAAGTTTAGTTGTGCTTATAAGGGAAACAACGTTGATTATTTGGGATGAAGCTTCTATGGCTAAGAAGGAAAATATTGAATCCCTCGATTCACTACTCAGAGATTTTTGCAATTCAAGTGTATTATTTGGAGGCAAATTAGTAGTGTTTGGTGGGGATTTTAGAGAAGTTCTTCCAATTGTTCCACGTAAATCACAGAGAGAAGCAGTTGCTGCAAGTTTAGTTAGTTCTGCTCTGTGGCCACAACTACTGAAGTTCAGGCTTACTGAAAACTTAAGGGCTACAGATGATCCTGCATATACAGCTTTTCTGTTGGCACTTGGATATGGTGAATTGCAAAAAACGGAGGATGCGTTTGTTGAGCTGCCATTAGATATTGTTAAGCCTTTTTGTACTGGAATAGCTGATAACGTACATCTAACAGCTGTAACATTTCCTGAAATGGATATGTTTCCATTTAGTTCAAACAGTCTACAAGAGCTATATTGACACCGATGAATGAGGATTTTGATGCCATAAATTCAAGTCATGTACATGAACATATTTGTAGTTCAAAATATAGATTTTAAATTCAGGAGAAATGTAACAAAAATGTAAATGTAAATAGTGGAAAATTAGATATATTAATCTTATTTTCATTATCAGAGGAAAAAAGGAGAAAAAGGAGGAGACTAGAACACTATTACATGCTGAGATAGTTCATGCATGCAATCTCTTGTGGAAGGGGGGTGGAAATTTCTTTCATCAACTTTTTCATGCATTCTTTTCCCATCTATTTTTTCACTATATATACAATGTTTAGTATCATTTGTATTCTCTAAAAAACCAACTAATTCTAATCTTATGCTATACATAAAAAAAAATTTCAAATACATAAACGATTGGTTAAGCTGTACTAGGTTCAGTACACAACAATCAGTCATCAACTAATTCATAGGTATGATCAATCCAAATTTCGTGTTAACATAAAATTTGTTATCACTTTATAGATTTGGATAGATATGCATGCGTTGTTATTTCTTAGTTTATGGATTTTAAATTGTCTCTATTATATAAATTGTGCATGCTAAAAATTATTAATTTAAGAATGAGAATCATATGTTTCAAGCATGCAGTATGAAACTTTCAACTTTAAAATCATAACAAGCTTAGATAATTTTAGGGAATTTGCATAATAAAAAGTGTATTTTGAGTATCTATAAATGCATGGACAATTGTCTTTCATTTATTTGTTTTGAACATCAATTTAAGGCATGAAAACTGATTTATAAATCATACACATTAAATGTTGTACAGTAGGAGCATAAGACTGATGTTATTTTTCTAACATTCTGCATGCATAGTCTGAGAATCATTTGTTTTAAGTATGCATCATGAAACTTTTTACTTTAAAATCATAATAAGCTTAAATAATTTTAGGGAATTTACATAATAAAAAGTGTATTTTAAGTATTTACAGATGCATGCACAATCATCTTTCATTTATGTATTTTGAACATCGGTTTAAGGCATGAAAACTGATTTATGAATCATACATATTAGATGTTGTACAGTAAGAGCATAAGACTGATGTTATTTTTTCATTTCTAACATTCTGCATGCATAGCAATTTCTAATTAAAATTTGCAAAACATCCATTTCATACATTCAATGTGTTACAATCAAAGCATGCAAAATGATTTTAAAATCATATAGATTAGATATTTTGTACACTTAAAACAACAAACTAGTACTATTAATATTTCAAACATTTTGCATGCATAAACTTGAACAAAAACTTTTTTACTTAAGGCATGCAGTAAGAGACAGGTTTGTAGCATTTAAACACGTTTTCTTTGATCATAATATTTAGTTATTTGAAAATTATCAAACAGAGAACATCTTCATGGCGCCACAACGGAAATTCCTAGATGAAATCGATACAACTACAAAAAATTTCAAGGTCAAAGTAAGGGTTGCAGAGAAGGGTCGTCCACAAACATCAGAAAAAAATACACGATATCAGTGTATGTTTTTCGCAGATGACAAGGTATATCGATTTAATTCTACATACATTTTGAAACTCAACATCCAATTTGCACAAATTGATGAAAGCACTTTAAAACATTAACAAATTCTTGCTTGTTACAGAATAACCGGATGAAGATAACACTTTTTGGTGACCAGATTCTAGAATACTGGGATGTTATTAGTTTCAGAGGAAACTATGAGATTCCTGATGTTGTAGTAAGGAACTTGGATGCACAATGGAGGGATAAAGAAGATGACATTCCATTTCATTTGTCATTAGAAAGCAAGACTATCATCTGATCTTTGGATCCTAAAGGAGAATAAATTTACCCCAGATATCAAACACTTGCTTCTATTCCAAGCATCCCTATTGATGATGATAGACATGGTAAACATATTATATGAATTACATATACAACCATATAATTTGTCAAATACATCAAAGTGGCTTAATACAAAATGTTAGTATTTAGTGTGATTTTTTTTGGAGTTTCAGATATAGTTGTGTTAGTTCTTTATGTATCAGAAGAACCAAGGAGAATAGTGACATCATCTAAAAAAGAGACATTAGTTCGAGATCTTATGGTGATAGATCACATGTAATTGCTTTTAAAGACTGACTAATATCTTTGCATTTATTTCATTTCATTTTATACTAACACAAAGTGAATATTAAAAAACCTCTAATTTAATTACTGATCAACCAATGAAAGTATGCACTTGGAATGACCTTTCTAGAGAACAATGACTCTTTCAAAGTAATTGGTATCACAGCTCTACGATCTATTACTCAAACAAGGTCAGATAACAACTTAGATCATATTGAAATTTTCAAATAATAAACACATGTAAAAGATCTGAATCACGGTATGAGTATTGACATTTTCCAAATAAAAGGATTTTCGCTTGAATCAACCATGTCAACTTTCATTCTGAAGAACCCCCAAGGTGACAAAGCTGAAGCTTTAGCCGAATGGTATAGTTTTGAAGAATTTTCTTTCCTAAATATTGAAAATGTTAGCATAGTAATGTTTTGAACACAGATTCAGAATTCTGAGAGAAACCCAAATTGTAATTTTTATGATGTGAGTAAAGCATAAATTGATATTCCATTTGTTTGTTTGATCTACTAATAAAAGTTTGAATGTTGAAGTTTTTCACAATATTGTATATACAGTATTTTACGAAACCATAAATTTATGACAATTATTTGGTCTTGATAAAAAAGGGAAAAGAGACATCAATGTATGTTAATCAATGAATAGCAAATGAAGGCAAGGCTATCGGGTCTGAGGAGCAGGTAAATGGAATCAGATCCGGCTTCTTTAGGTGCGAAGGAAGGCAAGGCTATCGGGTTTGAGGAGCAGGTAAATTCTGAATTCAAGTTACGCAAAGTCAAGCAGGAGAGGGTTTTCATATTGCAAGATGATGATGAGGAAGATTCTTAGAATCATGCAACCACTCTCACATAAGAACAAGTCAGCATCACCTTCAACAAGTATTAACAGTCTTAAAAATATATTTTATAAATATTATATAATGTGTGGCATTAACTAGGAACAAGTACACTAAAATTACTTGTTCCTAAATAACACCACTTATTAAGGGATTAACCTAAACTAGGGACTTAAATATTTTGCAATCAACTAGCAACTATAATTATTTTGGGTGTTTAAATTACCGTAAATGCTATATAGTAAGCCATATATGTAAATAGGTAGAATTTGCAGTATTAAGAAGTAGTTATATAAAAAACAGCAGCTATGTATGTACTATGCTTGAAGATGTAAACCATGTTTTCACTTATATAAAAATATATAATCGGATTATAGTATATCATTTTATACTTGAAATAGATATATATATTATATAACTATTAAAATTTTTGTTAGAGTGAAAAGTCTGATCTACTAAAAATTATTCATAACCATTATTATACCAAAAAAAAATAAATAAATAAAAAACATCCTAACAACAACAAGGCCATAACCAAGATGGTCATTACATGGGTTTACATTGAAACTAAATCAACATAAAAAACAATAGGGACTCCTTTCCTATATTTAGAAATTGAGAAATTTTACACATTGGGTGTTAAGACCAATGTAATAACTATATAGTATGATATATATGTAAATAGGTAGCAATCTACAATATCAAGTATTAGTTATATGAAAAATCAGCAGCAATATATATATTAAGCTTGAAAATGTAACCCATGTTTTCACTTATATAAAAATATATAATCGGATTATAGTATATCATTTTCCACTTGAAATAGATATATATATCATGTAGTTATTCAGATGTGTGGAACAGAAAAGAAAAGTAAGATCCACCAAAAACAATTTATAACCATTATCATATATATATATATATATATATATATATATATATATATATATATATATATATATATATATATATATATATATATATATATACATATATATATATATATATACATATATATATATATATATATATATATATATATATATATACATATATATATATATATATATATATATATATACATATATATATATATATATATATATATATATATATATATATATATATATATATATATATAAGGGAAACCTAACAACAACAAAGTCATAATAATGATGGTCATTCCATAGGTTTACATTGAAACTAGATCAATATCAAACACAATAAGGACTTCTTTTCTATATTTAACCAAGGCACCTACATCTACTTGAACATTATAGAAATCAATGAACTGAATAACACCATTTCTAATGGAACATTTACTGATAGCTCTTTGTTCGTTCAAGACTTTCAGCTGCACATTGAAATGTGTATCGGCAAGCTGAAGAATGACATCGGTAGTCTCAGGGAAATCAATGAAATTCTGTTTAGCAAACTTGAATGGAACATTCTGTCATTGAAAATAAAACACAAAATCAAATATATATGCCAAGAGAAAGAAGAATAGAATAAGAAATAATGTTCACGACAGGCTGAAGAAACAAACATGAAGATAGCTAACAAAAATCATACTATAATTCCTTGATCAACATAGGCTTTGGTAAAAGTGAATAAGAAATGATGTTCACGACAGGCTGATGCCAGCTTGGCAAGGCAAGCATTGGTTTCGATCATTTTAGATGAGAGCTTTTCAATAGCAGGTTTCCTCCCATGCCTTTTACCTGAAGTACCTGAACTTCCATCATATCCATTTTCCTCAGCTCTCTTACTTCCCTTGGATATGCAGATTTCAACATCAAATGAGCTATACCCTAAATAAGTAAATATCAAAGCATCACCAGGCCATGCTCTACAAAAAAAATCAGACTACCCAGCATCAAGATATGTTCCCCATCTACTACCACACTCTTCATGCACTAAAGTAACGAACCATGACTTGTCATTACCATCCACTAACAACTCTATGTTAAAGAAACCATCATTTAGTACATCTCTGAAGCAATCTGGAATACGCTATTTAGAGG